TTAGCTTTGTTGACGATTGAGGAGATGTGAGTGTCCCAAAATAGCTTGCTATTGACGATAACTCCTAGGTCGTTTTCCTGTTGAACGCGTTGTAAAATGGCGTTGTCCAGGTGGTAGTCCGTAAGTACAGGCGATTTCTTCCGAGTGACCGTCAATACCTTACACTTGGAGGCATTAAACTTCATATTGGAGTTATGACTCCAAGTATTTAGGTTCGATATGTCACGTTGCAAGTTCTCACAGTCACTTTGGGACGAAATAGAGCGGTATAATTTTGTGTCATCTGCATAGAGAGCTGAACTCGTCTGTTCCTGGATAGAGTCAGTTTTATAATATAATTATTAAATTTTACATGGTGGTTGGTAATTGCTACGCAAATTTCTCCTCCTTCAAAGTTGTGGTTATGTGACCCGTATAGCTACAGTATGGTGCAACAATTTTTATAGCTGGTGAAGTCGCGACATTTTATGCACGCTTTTTAGGCTTACAGTATTTCGCAGTGAAATTATAGTGCAAAGGTTTAATTAGATCAAGCTAAAGTTCAGAGAGTGATACAGTATGTTGTCACTATTCCCATTATGGTGCAAAATAATTTTAAAATATCTCTCAAACTGACCCCATCTTGAGACAACCTTAATGTTTTTATGACATCTGTATGCAACAATAATTAGTTTACCGTGGAGGGGCCCCTAAGAAAGAGAAAGTAAAATAACCTGCTTTCACTTCTATACTTCTCCTCAGTAGTGTTTATTTTCCCAAGCAAAAGTAGTGGTGCTTTTGACCTCAGAATTTTGATGATAACTTTCTAAAAGGTCATGCTCAGGAATAAAATTAAAATAAAAGTTGGAGATGGGCTTATTTTCTTCCATTTGAGCTAGCATTGAGCTCAAGAAACAGTAGCCTGTGTAGCAGTCGCTTTATTTTATTGAAGGTTTGAGGATTTTTGAATAAATGCATTTATTCAAAAATCCTCAAAACCTTCAATAAAATAAAGCGACTGCTATGCAGGCTAAAGAAACAGCAAATCAATCATCCTGATTGTTTGCATATTTATACACAGGTGCATCTGCCTTATTGGATACCTTGTGTTTCAGTATCTATCCTAAACTGTAATTTATTTATAACTTTGCTTGATTTTTCCAGTCCAATAATTGGGCCAATATCCAGGGGTGGATTTATAGGCGGGGTGCGCACCCCTGTTGGCCTTGGTCAACGGGTGCAAAAAAAATCAAATTCAGAAATATGGCATAATTTCCAAGGTTTCTAGTTCGTTTTTTGAAGTCAAACTAAAGGTCATAATTCAATGCCCATATCACAGGAAATGGCATTTCTATTGTTCTAATTTTCAAAATTTTGCGGGGGACGGGGGAACTCATACCCCTGGATGGGGCCCGTAGGGAGCTCGCCTTTGGCTCTTGATTCATTAGGATGCTCTCCCATCCCCCACCCTAAAGGATTATAAAGATTGAAACACTCGGCTGCTCAACCAGCACCCTTGCAGGATCCACCCCTGCCAATATCTACAGTATATGTAGAGAAAGTAAAAATACTATAACAGTCCAGTAATGGAGGAAAATTTAATTCCAGAGACTAGTGACTACATAAAAATGACTTATGAAGCCACTCGAGGTTAATTTGTGGCTGCTCCAAATTTGTACCTCTACCTCGTAAGTTGTATCTTACCAACCTAAGCTTAAATAGCTCAATATAGGTGGGACCTGACCTGGGAGTTGATCGATCTAAACGTTAAAGGGACACTCCACCCCCAGAACAAGTGTCGCTCATAAGAAAGGTATATATGAGCCTACCTTGGAATGAATATTTGTTCGCCTCAATTCTTTTTCGTTTGCGAGAAATTTACTGATTCACTGATTTTTCGTCCATTATCGCCGCCATGTTTGTTGAATCCGCGGTGGTCCTATGAGTGCCGTGACGTAAATGTGTGATAGAAACAAATTGTATTTATTCAGATTTGCTTCGAAACAAATTGTATAATCAAGCTTTAGTCTTTAGAGTTTCCTTTTAAATATTTGTAACCGAAGATGCCACATTGCATGGTTCCTGAGTGTACTAACAACTCACGGAAAACTGTGCGAATCAGCTACCACAGAATTCCAAAAGAAAAAGGTTTGCGAGAAGCGTGGTTGGCGAGAATTCGCAGAGTAAACCCACGCGATATGAATAATTCATGTGTTTGTTCGGCGCATTTTACACCAGACTGCTTCGAAAGAACGCTCGATCTTGTGCCTGGCTACCAAAAAAGGCCAAAGCTAAAATCAGACGCGGTGCCATCTATATTTCCGCGCAGTAAGCCAGAAAAAGCTAGAAGCACAGGACGAAGAAGAAATCAAATCCGCTCTGAACAAGCCAGACAAGAGGTATTAAGCAAGCCATGAACGCTTGCATGTATTTGTAGTATAAAAAGTTGTACATTATGTAATTTATATTTTGTAGTTTTCATATTGTGGCAGAATTAACTTTCTGAACATTTGTACGTTATTAGACACAAATAAAGCATAACCAGTGTGTATATTTTTATTTGCTGCATATATTTATAATATTAAATTGTGTATTTTATACGAGTTCATGTTCTAAAAAAATGTACAACCATCTTAACCCCTTCCGACATCATATTGGGACAGTAATATGGAAGACAGACCCTGCATGCTGTAACTGGAGCCTTTCTTAATCGAATAAATACGGCTGATGCGAAAACTTTGCTTCGTCCGTTTCAAATTTTACATTATTCGGTGATATATCTTCGTCTACTTCAGAAGAGCTGCTAGTACTCGATCGGGCCATAATTTAAAATGATCAGTAAGAGAATAAACGATCAATAACAGAATTTATTTACCCAAAATCACACCGAAAAGAACTACGAAGCTGTTAATTTATAGTGTTTACATCAAAGACTGAGTGTTTCTATCACACACTTATAGGACCACCCGCGGATTCAACAAACATGGCGGCGTTAATAATAGACGAAAAATCAGTGAAACAAAGTTAAATTTCTCGCAAACGAAAAAGAATTGAGGCGAACGAATATTCATTCCAAGGTAGGCTCATATAAAGCATTCTTATGAGCGACACTTGTTCTGGGGGTATAAGCGTTTGATAGTGTCTTCTCTCAGAAAGTGATCCCATGTTGGCATAAAATCTAGGAATATGATCTTACTCCACCGTTGAAGACAGTCCTAAAATAGATCTTAAATTAAGATATAATAGTTTGTGTTCTCCAATTTCTTTTCCTCCACCTTACCCATTCCGACCTATAATGGACCACAAATCTCCAAATGAGGTAAAATGTAGGTCTTGTATGAGGGAATCATCACATCTAGGGGGATTAACCGACGTAATCTCCTCAGAGCAGCTGCTTGAGCACAAGCCTTTTTGTCTGTTTGGCAATATGGACATTGAACTTCAGCTTTCTGTTCAGGGTAACACCAATTACATGTAGAGTTATGTAGTCAAGAGTATACTGTCTCCAGTGAAAATGTTAATGTAAATGGCTAAGTATTTATCGACTTTAAACTCATTATCTGTATAAAGTGGTCATGCATGTACAATATACTGTAGAGTGACATGGTCATGTATAAAGTGATTATGTATATTAAGTGACATGGTCATGTATAAAGTGAGATGGTCATGTATAAAGTGACATGGTCATGTATAAGGTTACATGGTCATGTATAAAGTGACATGGTCATGTATAAAGTGTGATGGTCATGTATAAAGTGACATAGTCATGTATAAAGTGACATGATCATGTATAAACTGAAGTCATGTATAAAGTGACATGGTCATGTATAAAGTGACATAGTCATGTATAAAGTGACATGATCATGTATAAACTGAAGTCATGTATAAAGTGACATGGTCATGTATAAAGTGACATGATCATGTATAAACTGAAGTCATGTATAAAGTGACATGGTCATGTATAAAGTGACATGGTCATGTATAAAGTGACATGGTCATGTATAAAGTGACATGATCATGTATAAACTGAAGTCATGTATAAAGTGACATGGTCATGTATAAAGTGACATAGTCGCATGTATAAAGTGACATGATCATGTATAAACTGAAGTCATGTATAAAGTGACATGGTCATGTATAAAGTGACATGGTTATGTACAAAGTGACATGATCATGTATAAACTGAAGTCATGTATAAAGTGACATGATCATGTATAAACTGAAGTCATGTATAAAGTGACATGGTCGTGTATAAAGTGACGTGTCATGTATAAAGTGACATGATCATGTATAAAGTGAAGTCATGTATAAAGTGACATGATGATAGTCATGTATAAAGTAAGTCATGTACTGTATTCTTAAGCTGGAATTGCACTATACCGGATTGATTTTCATACCGGATTAATTTTCACTCCGAAGTAAAAAACAAGGGTGTTTACACTGTGCATGCCGCTTCGCTTTGTTGCCACCTCGTGTCTCGCTGTCGCCATCGAAACAAGTAATATTTTTTGCCAGAATACTAAAATTTATTAAAAACAAGAAGTAACGCACGTTTTCATACTTCTATTTGTGGAAAGTGGTCTTGATGGTCGCTTTGAAACTTCCAGTATTTCCTTGCACGCTAGTTACCTTATGCTGATTCTCTTCAATTGGGATGATATAAAGTTTTAACTCGCAATAACAGTTCTTGAGTATTTTCGGAAAAACAAGTTTGTAGATTTGCTATGGCATCGCGAAGCAAATCGTCCATCTTTCTACACATGGTCGAAAAAGAACAACGAGGAGTGATAGATATATGGTGTACCAGTGGGTACGCAAGGTACAAAGGGATGCGGAGGCCTGGGGCTGGACGCGGATCAATGATGCGTCCGACTATCAATGAGGAGTCCGACTGTCTACGGAAAAAACATTTTGCGTCGCCGATCGTGTTCACATAAACTCGTAGTGATCGTAGAGTGCCGGTGTCACAGCGGATTTGGACTCCCCGCGGATATGGACCCCCGGTCCATATCCGCTAGCGGATTTGGACCCCTACGGTACACATCCGCTAGCTGATGTGTACCCCCTTCCGCGGAAATGGACCCCCTAAAATCAGTCACAAAAAGAAGATATTTTCGATTTAAGAATTAATTATACGAGTAGTTGTCGACTATCTATGATGAAGTACTGTTTAATAAAAAAGCAGGAGTGTTTTATTATGTTTAAAGACACGAGCGCGCAGCGCGAGTGGCTTTAGACATAATAAAACGCGACCTGCGAGTTTATTAAACGGCTTCAAACACGACTACAAATTCAATAGATATGTTGCCTTATTAGTATTCTTTATATAAAGAAAACTAATGAGGACACGACTACAATAGATACTGCCTTATTAGAATTCTTTATATAAAGAATACTAATTAGGAGTGTTTTATCAGGTTTATAGCCACTGCACGTGACATATTATAGTTGACATGATTTGCCAATAAGCTTATGAATTATTAATGAGTGTTTGAAATTATAGATAATATATGTATTCTCGAGATCAAAATAACCAGCTTTGCGTAAAAGTCTAACGATATTAATAAAGTAATCCCAAAATGAGAGCATTTGCGAAAGGTTTGCACAAAATTTATTAGCTAATAACAATATAATAACAACACTCAGAGTAACATCGCAAACATAATATAATAACAAATTTATTAAACATGCGATGTAACGGTATGTGTGATAACTACTGGCATGCATGACTCAACTATCTTGGAATTTGCTTAATGACGAAAACAATTTATTGAGATGCTAATTTTATAAAAGTTTAGGGTTGAATGGAATGCATCACTTTGTTATGGGTATGTTAAGGCAAAAATAATTTGAAATATATTTTCATTTTCCGTTTTTATTTCATTAGTTAAGCGTCAGAGCGGATAGCAATTCCAAGGAGTAAAATACTTGTGAAGGCTTCATGCGCTTCCCGCACATTCCAAGATCATAGAAATAAACCCATGTAGCAGAAAAATTATAAATCATAAACTTTGACGGAATTCTTTAATCTAAACATCTATGATTTGATGGAATTTTCTAATCTAAGAATCTTCGTACGTTTTTAAGATAAATCAGATGAGATTTATGACGATATAAAACTCTTTCAGTACAATATTCAAAATACAATACGTTGCAATGATAAAATACGCGAGGGGTCCAAATTCGCGAGGGGTCCAAATTCGCGATGGAAGTCCAAATCCGCTAGCGAATAAAGACCCATAGGTCCATATTCGCTGGCGGATATGGACTCCCCGGTCCATATTCGCTAGCGGATTTGGACCGGGGGATCCATTTTGAGGGGGTCCAAATCTGCTGGGACACCGGCGACAGTCTTCGTCGATCGGGAAAGCTGAACCAAGTTCATCTTGACAGTCTGCGTAGATGGCGTCTAGTTACACTGCATTGTGGGATATAATTTCGTCGTAGACAGTCGCCCATCGTGTTCATAAAAACTCGTAGTGATCATAGACTGCGGGCGACAGTCTCCGACAATCTACGAGAATCTGCGTTTGTGTTCACATAACAATTCGGCACATGTCTGCGACTGCTTAACGATTGTATGTGAACTAGGCGTAAGCCTGGTTCACACTGCCACTGGAAATCTGTTGACGATTTTCTCCTGACAAATGTGATCGAATGAATGACATACAAAAGAATTTCTGAAAATTAACTCCGCTATACTTTTGTGTGCGAGTTCACTCATTTTCATTCGTCGGAAACATAAAATCACCGACAAAAGTACGAAGCAAGATGTACTCGTATTGTTTCAGTGTTTAATACTCGCCTACGTTTATAGGTAAGATAACTACGATGAGATTTCGCTTGCCGCCATATTGGAATATTTTGGTGGGATATTTGTATATCAATGCGCTACTCTGCTGACAAAAGTGAGCCTGCGCTCCCGGTAGAAATTTGCATAACAACCGATCACCATGTTAAAATGTTAATTTGAGCAACAGAAATATTAAATATTATAATAAGCCCAATAGGCTTATAAATACCAGGAGAGGCTTAAATTCAGGGGAGAGAGATTATATTTGGAGTAGCCTGAACGTTAGTGAACATGGTGGGCTTATACATGGTGGGTTTATAGTCGGGCGGAGGGAGGGATCGAGGGGGCTTATATTGGGAGGTTTACGGTATATAAATTTGATTTGTGGTATTGTATTTCAGCTTTTGAAAACACATTTGTGATGGAAAAAGATGAAGATTTTGAATGTAATGTTTGCAAGGAAAGGTTCCCAAAATTAAGCAGTTTAATCAAACATAAAAAAGCACACACTGAGGACACTGATGCTTTGAGTAAACATACAACCCGCAATGGAGGTAGACATCATGAATGTGATGTTTGCAGGAAGAGATTTGCAAATGGAAGCAATGTATTGCGTCATAAAAGAACACATACAGTAGGCAAGCCTGTTGAATGTGATATTTGTAAGAAAACGTTTTCCAGTTCAGAAGCTGCGAAGAAGCATCAAGGAACCCACACTGGAGACAGAACTTATGAATGTGATGTTTGCGGGAAAAGATTTGCAAATGGAAGCAATTTATTGCGTCATAAAAGAACACATACAGTAAGCAAGCCTGTTCAATGTGATATTTCTAAGAAAAAGTTTTACAGTTCAGAAGCTGTGAAGAAGCATATCGGAACCCACTCTGGAGACAGAATTTATGAATGTTATGTTTGCAGGAAACGATTTGCAAATGGAAGCAATTTATTGCGTCATAAAAAAACACATACTGGATACAAGCCTTTTGAATGTGATATTTCTAAGAAAAAGTTTTACAGTTCAGAAGCTATGAAGAAGCATGAAGGAACACACACTGGAGACAGACGCTATGAATGTGATGTTTGCAGGAGAAGATTTGCAAATGGTAGCAATTTATTGCGTCATAAAAGAACACATACTAGGCCTTATGAATGTAATGTTTGCAAGAAAAGATTTTCCAAGTCACACTGTTTAGCTAGCCATAAAACAACACATGCTGGGGATAAACCTTTTGAACGTGATGTCAAGAAACAATTTTCCATTTCAGGAGACATGAAAAAGCATAGACGAACACACTCTGGAAACAGAACTTATGATTGCAATGTTTGCAGGAAAAGATTTGCAAATGGAAGCAATTTATTGCGTCATCAAAGAACCCATAGTGAAGACAAGCCTGTAGAATGTGATGTTTGTAGCAAAACGTTTTCCAGTTTTGAAGCTATAAAGAAGCATAAAACAACGCACGCTGGAGACAAACGTTATGAATGTGATGTTTGCAGAAGACGATTTACAGATCCAAGCAATTTGGCACGTCATAAAAAGACACATACTAAGCCTTACGAATGTGATGTTTGCAGGAAAAGCTTTTCTCAACGAAACCACTTAGTTATACATGCAAGAATACATACACCTGGGGATCAACCTTTTGAATGTGATGTTTGCAAGAAAGGTTTCAAAAATGGAAGCAATTTCACACGTCATAAACAAACGCACACCAAACCATACAAATGTGGTGTCTGCAAGAAAAGATTTTCACGTTTGGGTTATTTGAATAGCCATAAAAGAACACATACCGGAGAAAAGCCCTTTGAATGTGATGTTTGCAAGAAAAGGTTTTTTACCTCAGTATCTATGAAAAAGCATAAGGGTTTGCACACTGGAAATAAACCTTATGGATGTGATATTTGCAGAAAAAGATTTGCAGATCGAAGCAATTTAGTGCGTCATAAAAGAGTACACACCAAGCCCTATAAATGTGATGTCTGCAATAAGAAGTTTTCACAATCAAGCGACTTGGTAAAACATGGAAACATACATACTGCAGGCAAACCTGATAAATTTGTTGTTTGTAAGAAAGAAATTTTGAAATCAAAAGCTGTCAAGAAGAATAAAGGAACACATACAAAAATCAAAACTTATGAATGTGATGTTTGCAAGAGTAGATTTTCCAATTTAGAAGCTATGAAGCAGCATCAAAGGACACATATGGAAAACAAGTCATATGAATGTGATGCTTGTGAAAAAAGATTTACAACTTCAAGCAATTTAGTGCGTCATAAAAGAGTACATACCAAGCCCTATAAATGTGATGTTTGCAATAAAAGGTTTTCACAATCAATCTACTTGCTAAAACATAGAAACATACATACTGCAGGCAAACCTGATAAATTTGTTGCTTGTAAGAAAGGAATTTTCAACTCAAAAGCTGTCAAGAAGAATAAAGGAACACATACTGAAAACAAAACTTATGAATGTGATGTTTGCAAGAGTAGATTTTCCAATATAGAAGCTATGAATCAGCATGAAAGAACACATATGGAAAACAAGTCTTATGAATGTGATGCTTGTGAAAAAAGATTTACAACTTCAAGCAATTTAGTGCGTCATAAAAGAGTACATACCAAGAAGTATAAAGGATCACACACTGAGAAGAAAACTTATCAATGTGAAGTTTGCAAGAGTAGATATTCCAGTTTTGAAGCTATGAAGCAGCACGAAAATACGCATACGGAACACAAAAGTTATGAGTGTGATATTTGCAAGAGTAGATTTTCCTGCTTAGAAGCCATGAAACAACACGAGAGAACTCACACTGAAAAACAACTTCATGAATGTGATGTGTGCAAGAGTAGGTTTTCTAGTTTTGAAGCCCTAAAGCAGCATGAAACAACTCACACTGAAAACCAAATTCATGAATATGATGTTTGCAGAAGAAGATTTACTGATTCATGCAACTTATTTGATCATAAAATAACACATGCTAAACCATATGAATGTGATGTTTGCAAAGTGCGATTTGTGCATGAACAACATCTTATTGCACACCAGACTTCACATATTGAAGATGCCCCAATTTTGTGTAAGACATGTGGAGGGAAAATACCTAGATCACAAGAAATGCAAGATAACATTGATGTGCTATCCAAATTGGGACAACTAAAAGCAAATTGTAGTGAAAATGATATGTCCTTTCAATGTGATTTTTGCCAAGAAATAGAATCAAGTGAACCTTCTGGTATTGGATATGTTTGTTCTCTTTGTGGTTGTGGGTTTGGAAATCTCAAAAAACTTGAAGATCATATCGTTGCTCATAATGTGATACCTGAATAAGGTGCATACTGCATTTTATACCAAGAAAGTGTTAATGCTGTAATGTATGGATTTGGTTTTGTTATGTTCAAACAATCTTCAGGCAGTGTTTTGGTATCGTAGTATACCACATTGATCAGTTCATTATCGTCAATCTAGATATGGTCTGGAAGTTTGGCCAAACCGTTATTAGGCTATCTTTTTGTTAATGTTTATAAATGAAGCAATCATCCAATCGCATCATCTGATTCATCTCGTCGAGGGATGCAGTCGTACCGTTGAAATATTTGTAAGCAAAGACGTGTCACTGTACAAAATCGTATCATATGTGCTTTTAGGTTTGCCAAGTGACCAGACCATATATCTATAGGCCAATTTACACGACAAGCGTTTTGGGATTGGCACCCCTAATAGCAGGCACCCATGCCCAGACGTCCACTTCACCACATACCCGTTTACACGACAATTTTGACAAGCTATACTTTTATGATGGGCACCCACACTTCTGGAATATGCCCCCCATTTTCATCTGACTACGGCAAAAAATTGGAACCTGTTTTTATGCAAGAGCATGTGTACAGTTCAGATACGACTGACAGAAATGAACTGAGTTAACAAGAAGACGAAAAATTATGTACAGTTGTACATAATTATGTCTAAAAAGTGGTTATTTAATGTTCAGAGTGATAAATTGTGGATAAATTGTTTAATGTAACTAGACACGTAATTTTATACTGACCTTTACTATGAACGAATTACGCATGCTCGATATAGATTACTTTTGGAATTTGTTCACAATGTGAGCACGTCACCGCTAGCTAGACATGCCGAGACTACCTCGTCAGCAAGTCTCGCCACCTTCAATCTTTGAGCACTGATGCCAATATTTGTCGCGTTTACACGACGAAAGTCGGCGGTGACGTGCCTATTTTTAGGGGTTCCGTGCCGAAAAGACTTTTCGTGTAAATTGGTCTTACCTGCATGAAGTACCATATCTTTACTATGGAATACGTAAGCGGGAAATCCATCAGCATGTTTACATCTGTTACTATATATACATCTTATTTACAGCATTAATATATATAAGGATAAAGAAACTCTTTTGCTTCGCGATACTGTAAAGATCTCTGATCAACAAAAACGACGAGCTTGCTTCCAATGGAACATTTTTAAAAAGGACTCCTGTGACCGTGTAACATGACATTCAGCGTTCTTATTTTTATTAGCTATGAATATTTCGTGTGATTTACATTGCTTTAGCTTTATAGTAATTGTTGTTCTTATAGAGTTGATGTTTTATATTGATATTTTAATGGGATGGATTATAATTCATATTTTTGTATCTGTTATAGTCAATAGCGTGGTCTTTTCCTACTGTTTCCAATAAAAAATAGTATAGTATTTTCCCTTGATTTCACTATTGTCTATTGAAAAAATGCAATAACCAATCCGACTAGCCGATCCGTTAGTGAAAGAATACTGAGACTCTACTGTTTAATTTTACCCCGATGGCCTCGTTTCCATGTTTGCCTGTTTTAGCATGACAGGCGCGAATGAAGGTTATATCCACATGTTTCGTGCGTGTATATGTTTTCCTTTTCTCTTGAGCCCAATCACAATCTTCGCCTCAAATTTGTAGCATTTGCAATTAACACTTCTCGAACCTTGTAAAATTGGAAAATCGAACGCGTGTTTGGCGGAATTTTATAATACTGCGATTGCGTAAGCACGGGTATTAGTACTATTATACCGAGTCTTATACCAAGTATTGATGTGTTGTAGTAGTGTATCAAGTATCGATCTGCTTGCCTATTTGGGGTGAGGGTCGGGATCAATCTGATATACTATAATGAGGGCTACACGAAGTTTATACGAAAGTGGCAGTCTCCTACTCAAGTCATCGCGGGCTCGGAGTACGAAATTGCCAAGATGGCGGAAATTGATTTCCAGTGCCACTACTTTGCTACTGTTTTTGTCTGCGCGATTACAACAAGGCTACAAGGAGTGCGCCAAAATCTCATGGTTTGACTTCGATTTAAAAACTAGTGTGATTTGAACTGCTAACTTGATTTGCGATACGGTTACCCTGGTCGCCCTCAACCTCTTCTCTCTCGTATTTTTCTCACGTGAGGCGAATAAATAAATGTATGCCTATTCGCCTCGCGTGAAATAAATACGAGAATAGGGCAACCAGGGTACGATACAGTCCGTTTATAGAAAAATTTGTAATTAACTGGGAAAATGGTATTAACTTGGCGAAGGAAAATCGTCGACCTATTCAATATACCCATAGGACATTCTCCCC